GGGTTCACAGGAATCTATTGAATGTTGTAGAGCTTAACTTGCAGCCAAGCTGCTCTTTTGAAGCCCTATACAGTGTTGCTGTGAGTCAGAACTGACTGGATGGCACATACCAGCAGTAACAACCAACCAAAAGGTTATTTGAACCCACCTCGAGGGAAAGATGTGATGTGATAGTCTGATTTTATAAAGATTATTATTGATATTAAGTGCCGTGGAGTCATTTTCAACCCATATTGATCCTGTGTAGGGTTTCCAAGAAGCAGTTGGTGGGTTTGAACTGCCCACCTTGTGATTAGCAGTCCAGTGCTCATCCTACAGTGCCACACCAAGACCCCACATAAAAATTACAACCTTGGAAACCCCATGTGTGTCTATGAACTGGAATCCACTCAATGGCAATGGGTCGAATAACCTAAAAGTTGGTGATTTGAACCCCACTTTGATGTGGTGGCTGAAGAAAGTCTTGGTGATCTGTTTCTGTAAAGATTACAGCCAGAAAAGCCTATGGAGTAATTTCACTCTAACAGATGGGGTTGCCCAGGCTTTGGAATTGACTTAATGACAATGCGTTTGGTTTTTTGGTTTTAAAAGGTATTAGGATTAAGACCTGTGCAGTTGTTCCCTTATGACCTCCTTTTACTTCGTTGATAAAATAAATAAGTAAATAAATGTCTCCCAAGCAAGGTCACATTCACAGTTACAGGGGTTGGGACCTCAACATGTCTTTATGGGAGACACATTCAATTCATAACAGTTGCTGTGCACCAGTTGTTGTTAAGGGCTGTTGAGTCAGTTGTGACTCAGATTTATAAATTTCGAGTAGGGTTTCCCAGGAGTGGCTAGTGGGGTTTGAACTGCCATACAACCTTCCGGTTCAATTCAGCTTTGTGGTCTAGTGCTTATCCTATCTATAACACTCCACTTGGACTCCCTATGCACAGTTGTTATTAAATGCTGTCAGGTCAGTTCTGACTCAGCAACCCTGTGTATAGGGTTTCCAAGGAGCAGCTGATGGGTTTGAACTGCCAACCTTGTGGTTCACAGTTCAATGCTGATCCTACAGCGCCACACCTTGAAGCGTATTATGACAATTTTGTGTGTGTGATGGGGAGGTTAAAAGATTGTCCTTATATTAACAGGAGTTAGTGTAGATGCCAGCTTTCAGTTTGGATGGACACCTCTTATGCATGCTGCTAGTATTGCCAATGCAGAGCTGGTTCGGGTCCTTTTGGACAGAGGTGCTAATGCAAGCTATGAAAAGGGTAAGATTTTAAGGTAACTGATTTTGTGTACTATGGTTTCCTTGATTCCCAAGCAACTATTACACAATGTGAAAAAATTTAGTTAAAAAAAACCTTCCTATTAATTTTTTATAAATAATATACAAAATCAAATTATTCCATAGGTGGTTAGAAAACCTTCTCTCCCCCCCCCCCCAAAGAAGTATGCATATTTTTCAGCTATATTCTGGTTATGTTACTATATAACTTTAGTATTTATGCTCAGCAGCTCTCTAAAAGGTTGGCAGTTTGAATATACTCAGGTGCCTTACAGGGTACCTTGATCTGCTTCTGCAAGGTCATAGCCAGGAAAAGCCTGTGGAGCAGTTCTCCTCTGTACATACAGGGTTGCCATGAGTTGGAATCAGTTCAGTGGCAACTAGCAACAGCAACAATTCCTAAGCTACAGAATTTTTATTATTTTAAAGGAAAAATTACATTGAAAGAAAACTTTAAAAAGCTGACACATTTGTGGAAAGTTACTTGAAAATCTGTTTGTTTTTAAGTATTAAACTCAGTGTTGAATTATAATGTTACTTAAACTTGTTTCAAAGATAGTGTGTTAAATCCATTTTGTTATTGAATAACTGGCCACTAAATAATTTTTACTCGGTCATGCTTTTGAGGAATGAGTATGCATAAATCCTGGTTATTTACTGATTGTTGTTGTTGTTGTTGAGTGCCATTGAGTTGGTTCCGACCCATAGTAACTCTGTACAGGGTTTCTGAGGAGCAGCTGGTAAAGCTTGAACCTCCGGCCTTGTGGCTCAAGCCAACTTTGCAGTCCAGCACATTAACCAACACTGCCACACCAGGACTCCAGTTACTGATTATTTATTTTTAATGATTCATCTTTATTAAATTTAGTATTAATTTCAGCATTAATTTTATACTTCCATTAGATACATGTAAAACCATTTCTATTCTGTTTTCTCATTTATCTATTAGCATGCATTTTTATAGGCTTTATTTTAGGATTAAGTTCCACATTTTATACAGCACTAGATATAAACTAATGGTTTATAAAACCATTCTATTATGTTTTGTTCATTTATTTATTAACATACATTTTTGTCTTAATGTCAGATTCATGTTTAATCATTTAAGATCATTTATACTTTTTTTGTGTTATTTTAAATGTAACCCTAGGAAGCCTATACTTAGTAATGAAATTTTTGAAAATAGAAAATACTGTTCTCAAAAATTTTATATTTTTAATAGTTTTTTTTTGTAACTTGTAATCAGTTATGGTTATAAAACACTTTGTATTTCTTCACAGCATATTTATGTAAAATCTTGTATATATCCTATAATAGCCCCATTAGATTAAAAGGGAAGATAATAGCTTTATAAGTATAAATTAGTATTAATGCTATATAAAGACATCACATAGTCTATTAATGGCAGAAATGGAAGAATCTGTATGTTTTTGCTCAGTGTTGAACCATTGATCTGAACCTTGGCTGTTGTGCCCTAGTTACAGTTACCCAATTCCTATTTAAGACATTTTTGTTTTTTGTTTTCTTATCTATCATGTCCTCCATTAATGCCATTAGAGCCATAGGAAGAGTTTTAAGATTCTGGTTGTGTTCAGAGAGATCAAATAGGGAATGGACTGAACAGAGACCAATCAATTATGGCAGATAGGTCAATTTTAGTAGAGTGATTTAGGCATAAACCAGATTTCAGTGAGTTATGAAATGCATGGGAAGTGAATTCATGGATCATTGTTTTTTTAAGCTTGATTTCAGCAGTGCAAATTTTAACCCACCAAACACTGGTTGAATCTTGGCATTGTACTCCATAGAGCCCATGCACTTTACCACTCTCCTGTTCTCTTGAAAAAAAAAAAGGGTTTAGTAGTAGGGTAAGTGGTAGGATGAGCCTTGAGGTAGGAAATGAGTTGCAGAAATGGGCACTGTGAAAATTAAGGGAAAGAAACCTGAAATATTCACCTGTGATCTCATTTTTTGGTAAAGAATTACATAAAATTATCTGTTAAAAGTGAGAGCTTTGGGAATAGGTTGTATAACTTAGGACTTAGAATGATTCAAATGGTAAAATAGGCAATTAGGTACACTCCCTGATGTGTGGGTTTTTCCTCACCTTTTTATTCACTATAGATAAACAAACTATTTTGATAACTGCATGTTCTGCGCGTGGTGCACAGGAACAGATCTTGAAGTGTGTAGAACTACTACTTTCAAGAAATGCTGATCCAAATGTTGCTTGTAGGTAAGAGTTTTAATATCTGTTCAAAAGTGTTAAAGATATTTTTCTTTGATTATAAACCAGTTACACATTTGATAACATGACACATATTTCTTTTTTTAAAAAAAAATCATGAGCAATGTGTGTATCTTGACCAAATAGTTGATCAGTGGAAATAGGTTCAAATTCGGTAAGGTTACCAGACCCAGTGCCTTCAAGGTGATTTTGACTGACAGAGATCTTGTAGGACAGAATAGCTTCTAGCTTCATAAGGTTTACAAGGCTGTAAATTTTTATGGAAGCAGACTGCACTATCTTTCTCCCATGCCCGACAGTCTTGAACCACCAACCCTTTGGCTAGTAGCCGAACACTTCGCATAAGATTTTCAAAGGAAAGGCATATCGTCAAGATAGGCTTTTCCCTTTTCATTTTTAGAGGAATGTCATAAATATTTGGAACAAAAAATAGAGGATGATCTTTACCTTTTTTTTTAATTTTTAGAAGAATTTGGAATGAGAGGGAAGGAGGACAATGAATTATTTCCTGTGAATCATATTCTCATAATAATTGATCTGTAACATTATATGTAGAATAAAGTCCTTTCTGTATAATGTTTGTTAATAAACAGTTTCACACTATTATTATGAATTCCAAAATAATAAAAAGAAATGTTTCCATTGTCCTAAGACTTAACCAGTTAATTAGATGGTACTGTAATGGAAGCTCAGTCTATAGGTAATATGCAATAAATGTATTTTAAATCTTTGGAAATGTCAGTAATAATAAAAACTGCTTAAACTTTATCACACTGACTTCCTTCTTGTCTTGCTTCATCTTCCTCTTAATCTCTTTCTGTTTTATATAATCTTCTAATTGAAGGAAGTATTCCATTCAGTAGAAATAGATCTGACATGAATTAGTGTGTGTGTGTTTGGGGGGGGTGCTGTCAAGTTGGTTCAGACTCACAGCTACCCCACATAGGGTTTCTGAGACTGTAAATCTTTGCAGGAACACAGCACCTCATCTTCCTCCTATGGAGTGGCTGGTTGATTCGAACTGCTAATTGTGAGATTAGCAGTCCAGTATGTAACCCACTGTCTACCAGGGTTCTTTCTGACATGAATTGTAGTGGTTGTGTGCCGTCAAATCGGTTCTGACTCATAGAGAACCCCATATAGGGTTTCTGAGGCTGTATATCCTTACAGGAGCAGAAACCCTTATCTTATTCCCATCTAATATGAATACATGTATTCACAATCCATTAAATCAAATATTGATACAGTGATGATAGATACAAATAACAGGTTAAGGCACTGGACTGCAGTGTCAGTTTGATCTGCAACGTCAGTGGTTCAAGCTCACCCTCTGTTCCTAGAAAACCTTCTACAGAGTTGCTATGAGTCGGAACCAGCTCGACAACACTTAACAACAACATACTTGCCACCAAAGGTTTTTCTGTTTTCATTTGCTGCTTATGACACCTGAACATTAGCTTTAAAGCTACTGGACAGCTTCGGTCTTTTTGAGATAACAAAGATTTTGATGAAGTGCAGTGGTTCCCAGCCAAGGTTTTACCTCCCACAGAATATTAGCTGTGTCTAGAGAGATTTTTTGGTTGTCCCATGGGGAGAAGGGCGGGGGGTTGTTGCTACTGGCATCTAATGGACAGAAGCCAGGGATGCCGCTAAACTCCTACATTGTATAGGACAGTTCCCCACCACAAAGATTTATCCTTCGCTGGGTGTCAGTAGTGCCAAGGTTGAAAACTATGATCTAGTGTGGAAAATGGCAAGACTCAGAGAATAGCCATTCAGTATTTAACAAATATCGTAAAAAGAAAACCTATCCACAAGTTTTTAACAAGTCAATTCATATGAACTAGTATTCTGATACAATCCCTGATTAAGTATATAACTTTGGGATCTGATTATATCTTAAAATTGGGACATAACCTTTACTTAAAGTGAACTTCAGGGGTGCTGTGATTTTGATATGTATCTTATTTTCACTTTTTGTTGTTGTTGTTATATACCATGGAGTCGGTTCCAACTCACAGCGACCCTGTACGGGGTTTCCAAGGCTGTAAATCTTTACAAGAGGAGAAAGCCTCATCTTTCTCCCGCAGAGTAGCTGGTAGTTTCGAATGGCTGACCTTGAGGTTCACAGTCCAATTTGTAACCACTACGCTACCAGAGCTCCTTAATTGATGGTTAAATTCATCATCTAAGATTATTGTTTCAGTGGATGGGTTGTTTTTTGTTTTTTTTTAACTTCTAGTATTCTGAATGATGTTTTAAAATTAGCAATGATCTTTTTGTAGTGTCTTACTCCCTCAAGATATTTTCAAGATTTAAATAGAAAACTCTTTAGTAAACATGAAGTCTTGGTAGAACAACTCTAATATCTGAAATCTTTGTATATTTGTTTCAGCTAGTAATAGTTTATCAAAGTTCTAACTCATGACTAAGTGCTAATCATTGGATTTAAAAACTTGTAGGGATAATATGAGGGCTAGGTTGATCAATCAGAGTGTATTTTTGTATGTTCCTCCCAGGTATCTGTGGCACCAATTCAGAATTCATTTTTTTTCAAATAAGTTCAGGGATTGAAATTCTCTGGACCATGTTGGTGATGTAAACCTGAGGTATAATAACTACTTTATGTCGGGTTCATCCTATCCTGAGGTGTATCCCTTTGGGTTCCAGCGTAACGTTTTAAGTATGGGTTCCCAAACTATCTTGTGTAGGCCCAGGCCTTTGATTTTTGTTCCCTGCATGTTCAAACACTTTAAAGCCACAGGTTAATTTCCCGCTGAATATATCTGGATTGGCAAATGTTGGCAAGCCAAAAGCAAGCCTGAGTGCTTAGTTTACTACTTCTATGGGGTTTTGTCATCTAGATTTTGGTTTGATTATATATCAAACCTTAATATCTTTGTTCTTCTTATCTTAATATCTTTGTTCTTCAATTTTTCAAACAAATGTTTAAAATTTCATTCAGCTTTTTAGATGCCTCTATAAGTTTGTTCCAAATTATCTGGCTTGTCATTACTTGAAGTAGAAATCGCTATCTTCTATATTTTAGAGTTTTTTAAACTTACATATCTTCTAATACTGTCATTATTTGTTTTCCATGTAGACTTTCTTTTTTGACCTTTGGAAATATCATTGGCTTAATATTTCATGGACAAGTTTCCATATTTATATATACAGTAGTTCCTCCTTGTCAATAGGGGATCTATTTCCAAGATCCCCACTGGATGCCTGAAACTGCAGATAGAACTGAACCCTGTATATGCTATCGTTTTTTTCTATACATACATATAACATGTACCCATGGTGCTCTAGATGGGCAGTGTTAGCTTAGGAACACCAGTAGGATGCAAAACAGATGCTGACCCAACTGTGTTTTCCAGGTTTGTGCCTAATGGAGGAGGAAAGCCAGCTCTGGTATGGAGTATTATGGCGTGAAATTTCTTTATGCTACTCAGAAAGGAAAGCAATTTAAATGTTTCCTGACTACTGTTGACCAAGGGTAACTGAATCCCTTGAAAGTTAAAGTTGCAGATAAAAGATTCCCGGGATGTTGCTATGGGAAAGCACTGGACTACTAACCATAAAATTGACAGATCAAACCCACAAACCGCTCCTTGGAAACTCCATGCAGGTCCCTAGGAGATGGAACCAACTTGACAGCACTTAACAGCAACAACAGCTATATTAATAGACTTTCGCTTTTTTAAATTTCTAAATTAGTTTTATTTTTTTTTAATCTTCCCTCCTCTAGGACTAATGCAAAGAACTGACAAACTTGAAAGCCATCTTTAAATTAACTTTTTAGGCCTAAATTACATTTTGCGGTTTTTTTAAGATCTTGCTAAAGACAATACTTAGCACATGTTGTAGCAAATAAGGTAGTTTTTGCTAGTTTGTTTATTTGAGCTATAGAGTTTGTTTCTGGGGTTAGGTTTCTTGTGTCATTTTTTTCTAAGTGAAACATAATAGAATATTTGCTATGTGTTAGGCACTGCACATTTTTATAAATATAATTAGGCATATTTGCTGCCAAGTATATCTAATAGTGTGGTGTTACAGGGATAAGCACTGGACCTGCAAGGTTGTCAGTTTAGCATCACTATGAATGGGCACTAACTCGATGGCATTTAACAACTCAGTGGTAAATAGTATTGTGTTACTTTGGTCAAAAAAATTGAAGTTTGAGTACTTAAATTCTTTTGAATGTGACAGAGGCTTTTTTTGTCTCCAAACATTTTATTGTGGTTTAGATGAAAGTTTATGGGGTGCATTAGTTTTCCACCAACAACAAAATACACTGTTTTGTGGCATTAGCTGCAATCCCCTCAGTGGAACTTCTTCTCTGGATTCCCTGTCTCCATTCACCCATCTTTTCAGCCCCTTGCTGTCTTTTGAACTTTGATTTTAAGCAAATGATGCACTTCTGGCTTCCTGTGGTTGATTGCTCTGAGGAGCACGTTACACACAGGCAGGTCCTATTTCAGGTCCAGAGAATGTCAGTGCCATAGTTTTGGCGATTCCTTCAGTCTCTCTGATCAGTAAAGACTCTAGTTTTTTTTATCATTTGAATTTGCTCTATATTTTCCTCCCATTCTATCCAGGACCCTGTTGGAGTAGTGAGTGAAGTGCTGGGTTGCCAACCCGAAAGACCAGTGGTTGGAATCCACCAGCTGTTGCACAGGAGAAAAATGAGACTCTGTGCTTCCATAAAGAGTTACAGCCATGGAAAACCCTATAGGGAAGTTCTACTCTGTCCTACAGGGTCACTGTGGGTCAGAATTGACTCAGTGGGCTGGGTTTTGGTTTGGTCCAAGACCTTCTATTGTGATTCCCGTCAGAGCAGTCAGTAGTAGTAGCTGGTATAGTAGAGGTTTGATAAATACATTTCCAACAGCTTAATCCAAACAAGATTTGTCTTTGGGATATATGCATATTTCCTATCTTTTCTGTCTATTCTTAAGGATTTTTTTCAACGTAAATCAATTTAG